GGGATTAAAAAAGGGGGGCGGGGGGGGGGGGGGGGGGGTTACTCATGTTTTGCATGCCTCAGCGGTTGGACCATTGACCACGCGTCCTCTCGATAGAACGGAGCACTGTTCCCTCAGAATACCCTATGGCCAGCCGTCCCTTACCACTAGCGGGGGGGGTTATCTCATGTGGGTGTGTCATTTTCCGTGGAATGCATATTACCATGGGACGGCACGGACACGGCACGGTGCGATCACGGTGCGGTGCAGTACGGACACGGTACACAACACGCACCGTCGCGTGACCTGACGGGTCGACACAGAAGTCTGACGTCAGGAGAGCCACGGACGTAGACACGCCGAACAGGAACCAGCACAGCAGGATCACCAGCAAGGTGAGCGGCAGGATCAGGCAGCCAATCAGCACGGGCCTGGCGATCGGCGTGTTTTTAGGCCAGATTCGTGCGATTCGTGCGATTCGTGAGATAGACAGAGAGAGAGAGAGAGAGAGAGAGAGAGAGAGAGAGAGCGAGAGAGAGAGAGAGAGAGAGAGAGAGAGAGAGAGAGAGAGAGAGAGAAGAGACAGACAAACAGAGAGAGAGACACAGAGAGAGAGAGAAGAGACAGACAGACAGACAGACAGACAGACACAGAGAGAGAGAGACGGATAGACAAATAGACAGCAGACAGACAGAGAGAACACGAGCACAAGCGGCAACGGCGGCGGCGCGAGCGAGGTGAACCCAACAGGTTGTGCCAAGGGGTGTTGCTGAATTCAGCAGCAGAACTGCACGCGGAGGGTCGAGTCACAACGCCCCCAATCTCATAACCTTCGCTTCACTTTCCCTTCCTGGTACCTTCTCAAAACACCTCGCTATTGTAGTCAAATACTCAGCACTCCCGTTTGCAAAGGCACTCCCGCCTGCAAAGGCGCACCCAACACGCCCTCGAACAGCACCTCCCAACAACCTTTCACAAAACACGCAACCATCCGACACGAAAACGACGCCCTGTCCTGTAAGAAGGAACAATGCTCCCTCCGTCCCCTTGAGGACGCGTGGTCAGTCATCCACCCGCTAAGGCGTGCAAAACATGGGTGAGAACGCCCCCCCCCCCCCCCCGAAAAACCCGGATTTTTTTTCTTCCCCCGCCCCGGCTGGGAAGGCTAAGCTATAATCAAAAACGGATGGTGTTTGCATGAATACACCCCCCCCCCCGGAAAACCCGGCTTTTTTCCCCCCCCCCTTTCGGGGTGGGGGGGGCAACCTTTTTTCGCCACCGCCTTTTTTTTAAATTAATTTAAAACCCCCCCCTTTGTGGCGGGCCCGACCCCGTTCCCCCCCTTTGGGGGGCGCCCCGGGCTTGCCCCCCCTTTTGGCTTTTTCCCCCCCCAGATAGAGAAACACACGCTCCCCGACCATACTTCCCAAAACTCATGGGCTGGGGGGGGGGTTTTCCCCCCGGGCCATGTTTTTGTGTTGTTGGAGTTATCCCTTAAAACTTACGGGGTTTTTTTTTCGCTTTTCCGGCTGACTGCTTTCGAAGGTTTTTCCCGGGCCG